ATCTGAGACATCAGTTTTAATTAAACTTTTTTTATAAGATTCATTAAAAGTGTCTGTTGTCAAAATATTATCTATCAACGATACCGACTTTGTAGTTACTCTTGTTGGTTTATTGAGACGCGGAATTGCACCGTTTTCAAATGAATCATTATAAAATCTAATAATTTTGGAATTTGTGTTACACTTTATTTCGTCTGAATTTATGTCACTAAATATGTAATTTAATTTCTTTTCAATTATACATTTTTATATATTATCAGTAATTAAAAAGAAATCATGTATTTCAATAGATGGTGGGCAATAACAGCAACTTAAAAACATATTTTTAGTTTTTTTTTGGCTAAAATTTCAATTGTTAAACCCTTTTTATCGGCATCAGAAGTACTCATGTCAGGCCTATTTATAAACCGCATTTCTTCATTTACATAAAAAAGTACACCAACGCCTATTTTTTTCTTTTGCGTTCTTAAGATACAGGATTAACACCTGGCTGGTGAATATCAGAATTACATCAAGTTTCTGTTAGGCATATAACGTTAAAAATATTTAAAGTTTCCTCAATATAATTCTTAAAATTTTCAAAATTCTTTTTTAAACCTCTTATGTTAAAATGTATCACATTTAAGCAATCTCGCTCAAGAAATTCTTTTAGTTCATTGCTATAACAAAAAGTACAATTGTTTAACAAAGCCTTACTAAAATAAATTGAATCAGTTTCGTAATACATTTATCACAATATATATTACTAATAAATATTATACCTTAACAATATATATTACAATAAATATTATATTCTTAACAATTTACTCAAACAATAAATTTGTAATATCTTTCTTTTTTTTTTTTTTTTTTTAATTTAATTAAATAAGATAAAAATTTTTTGGTTAAATTAATTAAAAATTAGTTTATTTAACATTAGTAAAGAATTATACCTATAACCTAGTAGTTAACTACTGGATTCTACTAATATTTCATAACTAGTTATAACCTATCAGTAGAAATAAAAAACAAACATGAATCTAGTAGTTATCCAATTTAACAATTTCCAAATAACTTTCTAATAATTATTTTAAATGTGAAAAACTGAAGTAATTGTAATCACTTTACATTTATACTTCATTTATTTCCTTTCTTTTAATTTTAGTTTTAAAATAAATTAATTATTTGTTATTGTTTTTTCTACAAATTTATGTAGGGAAGGATGGGTAGAAGTGAGCCAAGGGTAGGAGTGAATCGTTGATCCAACAGCTAAAACGGGAAATGAAAGACTCAAAATTTTCACCAAGTAGTTACATACAAATTGTTGTTAACACAACCCAATTTTTTTACCGCTCCTTGATGCGGGTGTCTGCATTTACGTTGTCATCCACTCTTTTCTGGGCAAAAATAAATTTTTTGTATTTTTTGAAACTTCTTTAGCAACCATACCGGTTGTTACGAAACATTAGATAGTCGTTAAAAATTTACAAATAAACAATGTTGTTTTTAAAACAAAGTATTTTACATGCAAAAACCACGTACTTAAAAGAAATTTTTTGTATTTTTTGAAACTTCTTTAGCGAGCATACCGGTTGTTACGAGACATTAGATAGTCGTAAAAAATATTATAAATAAACTTATTTCTCATTTAATATTATAAATAAACTTATTTAATTTAATGCCATTCCTTTACGGGCAGGAGTGAACCACGGCTCATTAATACTTCACGTTAAAAAAGTTTTGACTTCAGCGTAAAAACATATTTATATTTGACTTTTATATCTTAGTATATCATTAAAAAACTTGTGTGCAACATTATATTTATTTTTACCATATGCTTTAATGCCTCGAGTCTATAAAAGAACAACTTCAAAAGCAAAAATTTCCAATAAAGATATGAAAAATGCATTTAATCCAAAAGGAAAAAGGATTAGAGTTACTGCAATAACTTCTAAAATATTGCTATCTCGGCCAACTTTTTCTAGAACAGTAAAAGGCAGTATTGCCATTACAAATTTGAGGTTGTATTTGACTATATCAGTGTTTGCTAAATATTATTTTTATTGCCAATATACTATATGCTAGTATATTACTTACATTACATATATATACTTTTACGATATTTTAATATTTGGAAATTATCTATTTTCATTACAGTTTTTTGTTTTGTTGCCAAAATCAGTTGTTACTCAGTTAATCATTTGTCTGTAAACAAATTTTTTTGTAGTTTATACATTTTTTTAATTTTATTACATAAGTTTAAAATTGTTTTAAATTTATCATTATTTATGTTACATTATTACTTAATTATTTTATGCTTAATTATAAAGTTGTTGTTACTTACTTAATTTTTAATAAATTAGTTAAAGAAAGTATCTGATTTTAGTTTTCTGGTAATTAAAGGTAATGGCTCACTGCTATCATTTGCTTGGTTCACTCCTACCCATGCATGGGTAGGAGTGAACCAGTAGCAACACCTGCTTTATTGTTCAAGTTATCAAAAATCTGAAGATATTTTGATGTTTCGTGTAACACTATTAGAAACCTTATACCTTAGGCTACCTTAGGCTCCTTATCCTATACTTTTTCCACTTTTGGTTTCCTTGATATAATCGATTTAAAAAATGTGGCTCACTCCTACCCATCTTCTCTTACCTTTTAGTTCTTAACTACCCAATGCTGTGTGCTAGAAGGTTAATAACACAACTGCCCCAGTGGGCACACAACGTTATTTCGACGTTGATTTACAGTTGATTTTTAGTCGCGACGTCGTATAACCAAAAATCAACGTTGTATCAACGTTGAAAAATTTGTTTAAAACTATTAAATAAAATGACGTTGATTCCACGTTAATTCAACGTCTATATTACGAGTTCGACCGTTCGTAATTGCA